TAAGGATTTTCTTTTCATTGTAGAAGAATTAAATTAAATTTTAATAAAGTCAGAGACATGGTCTCACCATTAATATTAAAAAAAAAAAAAAACAAATCCAAGCGATAGATTTTGATAACGAAGAACAAGTAAAAAGTAAAGAATATCAAACTGACACATCTAGTCAATTAAATTATACTCAACTAAGTTCACCTTATTTTATTGATTAGATAAAATAATTTCTCAACGAATTTGAAAATATAGGACACATGTGTTTTTTCCTTGAGCATATACAGTATTAAAATTATATACATTACCCTTTTGAATGACATGATTTTTTATAGCATTAGTAGATTTAAATAAAAAAAATATGAGGCTTTTTAATAATATATCGAAATTTAACAGACTAATCATGAGACTTATTTCAGCATCCATTGATGCTGAAATACTATGATATGTATTTAATCTAGTACTTATTAGTATTTAATCTATAAAAATTGACCAATTATATGAATGTCCTCAATCCTCCGATAATTAAACAAGCTAAGCATAAATTTATTACTTGAACATATTAAAAAAATTATATTAAAAGAAAAAACATTTGATATATTGGCCTTTACTGTTTGAGCCGTAAAGTTTTCAGGTCTCACGACTTGGACATAGTATCATGAGACCCATATAAAGGATATAAAATTAAGAAAACATGTTGTTATAATGGTTATATTTTTTAAAAAAAATGGATGCAAGAAAATGTAGTTAAATTTGGGAAGTGATAGAATTTTTTTTAATTCCAGTTTAAATGTTTTTTAAGAAATAAAAAAATCAATCATTAAGACGTGCCAAAACCTTAACTAAAGGAATTTCTTATTTTTTTTATTAAACATCTGGATAAGAAATTTTTAAAAACTAGGATTAACCAAAATTGTTCCATGCTTCATAAATCGAATTTGATCTCTCGATCTCTATAATCGAATAGTTTTGGCTAGTGGTATAATGTCACAACGCTACCACCAAACGGAATATTTATTATCTTATTGATATTACCTTTGGGTCAAAAAACAACTTTAAAAAAGATCCGGTATTTTTAGGACCTCTCCTAGCTGTTTTTTGTTGCGTAGAGTATCTAGCCCCTCGAATTCCCTTTGATGAACAAAGGTCTTGTAGTTCTTTTATTCTTCTCGAAAGAAAAATAGAAAAACCTGTTAATTTAGGAGAACCACCAATACCTACCCGATTACGGGTGTCAGTTACTTTAGTTTTAGCATATCGTTAAACTCTTATCAAGAATTTAGCCGCGAACGGAATTCCTGAAAAGAAGATACGACCCAAGCCAAATTAACAAAGGCTTGCTCCTTATTTATGGGTAGAGTAACCCACGAATCAACTAAAAAGAAGAGATAGAATAACGACAGACAGATAGAATCAAATCCGGGTGCAAAAGGCTAATGGGGCCAGGTATGGGCTTACGTTTTAACAAATTATGCAGGTTAACTAGGACAAGTTACCCAATAATTTGCATTATCAACAGCTATTCCAGTTACTCATTATTTGTAATATGCCCAGATGATCATGCAGTTTTATAGTGTCCTTGCCTACAGGTTGATAGATTTACCCAGGCCTATCCTGAGCTAGCAATAGCTATACTACCAGTAGCAATACTCGAGTTAGCAAGCATTAACTACTGTTTCATACACCCACGAGGCTATTTATTAGCTATTGGTTAGTAATTCAAAGTTTGAAACTCGTATCCTAAGACATGCAGTCATTGAATCTGTATTCTAGAACACATATCATTTAATATTTTTTATTTTAAAACACGTAGGACTTTATAAAAAAATTTGCTGCCCGAAATAATTTTATTTCGCTCTATTTCTCTTCTTTTTAATCTTGAAAATTTTCTAAAACAAAAAAGTTGTAAAAATAACTATTAATTAAATTTTACAAAATAAAATAATGAACAAAAAGAAAAATACTATCCTTTTATTTTTCACGTATCAGTAATATCGATAGAAAAGTAAAATAAAAAAAATAAAGAAACTCTTCTTGACTATATCTGAGTCGTTCGTTAAAAATTTTTGCATGAACAAACCAGGATGGTTAAATGCCAGCAGATATATATAGGCCCAATCTGACATTCAGTAGTTCAAAGAACCATGTATGAAGCGTATTTTATGCTTGTATTTGTATGCTAGCCGCTTGATATTCATTCAGAGGCCCTATCATATGACTAACAACCGAGAATGTACTGTATTATAATCAAAAAAACACAATATTTTTTTCATTTACTTTTTAAATAGAGGGAATCTAAATTTTTCTACAAAAAAAAAATAAATTAAATAAACTATTTATACAAAAAGAGAAAAAAATATAATAAATAAATAAATAAATAAATAAATAACATATCTTTTGAATTATTTTATTTCTATTTATTCTTCAATTCGATGTATTCAGGTCAACAAAAAATAATTGAAAGAATGATGGAATATTAACTTTCTTGCTAGGCAAGAAACTATACTATGCAATATTCAACAATTATAGCACAGCTGGCACGAGAAAAAATGAAAGAGAAAAGTTTTTTTTGGATTAAAAATTTTACACATATAAGCTATATATATGCATAAAAAAGAAATAAACAAAAACTTAAGATTTTAAAAAAAGAAATGATGATCATGATAATTTCAGCCAATCGAAACTTATAAAGTGTTAGCACTCATAAAAATGATAATGATAACTTCCTCCTTGAAAAGAAATAATGATCCTGATAATTTCAGCCAATCGAAACTTATAAAGTGTTAGTACTCATATAACTCCTTGACACTTTATTATTATTATTATTTTTTTTTTTTTAACGTCTACTCTCTTGGGAGCTGAGATTTTTATTCAAGTATATATAGCATATATGTGTAAAATTTTTAATCCAAAAAAAACTTTTC